ACGGGAAGCTGGGCAGCGGGGCGGCGGGCCGCGGGGCCGCGGGGCGGCGGGGCGGTGAGGGCGCGGAGGGCAGGGCTCGGGACGTCACCTAGACTGGGTTTGGCTGGGTCCCAGGGTACTAGATCGTGTGAGGCACGGAAATGCCTGGAAAACGCAAGACCTCCTGGCCCCCCGGGATCCCTGGAAGCATGGATCCCTGGATTTCCTAGATCCCTAAACTCCTGGACCCCTGGATCCATGGATTTCCTAGATCCCTGAGGCCCTTGACCTTTGGACCCCTAGGCCTCCGGATTTCCTAGATCCTTGAACCCCTGAAACCCTGGATCCCTGGATTTCCTAGATCCCTAAGCCCCTGGACCCCTGAACCCCTCTCGACTCTGGGACCCATGAATTCCTAGATCCCTGAACTCCTCCATTCCTGCGACCCTGACTCTTTGAACCCTTAGATTCCCTGAGCTCTGCCGGGCCACCCGCGAAGGCAGCAGTGTCCCCGCGGGCATTGTCGCGGTCAGCGCATGCGGGACGCAAGGGGGCCACGGCGGGCGGAGCAGGCAGCCGGGTCTCAGCCTGCAAGACAGAGCGCCGAGGTCCTTATGGATCCTTCGGACCCCTTGATTTCCCAGACTGCTCCATCCTTGAGACCCTTGATCCCCCCTGGAGGTCTTGATCTCTGGGGGCCCCGTTCTCACGCCCCGCGGTCGCGCCCGTGCTGCCTGGGAAGGCAGGATTGCGGGGACACGGGTGTCCGCGGCGTGAGTCGTGGCTTCTGCTGCCTCCAGGCCACCCAGGGCAGACTGGGGCGTGCAGTGTCCCCGGCGGGACCATGCGCGAGAGGCGCGGCCCCAGAGCTCAAAGGCTTCCCCGCCCTTACCCCTGGCCGCGGCGCAGGGCGCTGGAGCTCGGGACACCCTCGCCCCTTCTGCAGTGAAAAGTTGTGCGTCCCCGCTCGCCCCGGCTTTCGAAACGCCTTTACCTCATAGCAGTTGCTCAAATTTTCCATCCAGAGAAGACTTGGCTGCTGGAGCTCCTGGCCATAAATTGAGCCCGGTGGACGCGAAGTCTGGGACCGACTCCTCAGCGAGTGAGGACCGAGGCCAATGGAGCGAGTCTTCCAGGCAGCCTCGCTTGCGGCTGCAAGTGGAGCTCAGGGTGCCATGGAGACGGCGCCACCCCACGGCACGCGGGGAGGACCCGTCCCGTGTGCCAGGGCTGGGCGTGGCACCTGTGGCCTGCTGGGTGGGGGTGTGTATGTGCGCACTCGTGTGTTTAGGGGGAAACATGGTTTCCCAAAATGTGCTCCCAGTTCCCTGTTCCTCCAGCAACCGCGGGTGTCAGAGTTGACTGATGGACTTCGACCCGGGAAGCTGCCCGCAGCAGCCTGCTTTTCCTTCTTCCCTGAGACCTAGTGAGTCTGGCTCTGCCGCCGCTAGTCTGGCTCCGCTGCCGCTCCTCCGTCTCCGCGGGAGCCCCGGCCCCTTCCAGGAAGGAGCCCGCGGGAGTGTGCAGGTGACACCCCACTGGGAGGCACAGAGCCGCCCCGGGGAGCGGTGGGGTTTCACTGGCCAAGGATTTTGCCGCTTTCATTTACATATTCTTCGTAAATATGTAGCCGTTATTTGTTGCATGCTGGTTTTGCCTAAGAAGTGGTCCTGCCCTCTGAGGTCTTGTCGATGGGAAATGGTGGCTTACGCAGCGTACTTCCATTCCAGGCCGAGTTATTTTGATCTCTGTATGAAATTCTATGTCCAGAAGAGTGCAGTATATGCAAGCAGGGTAATAAATTTAGAATTGAAAAGAAAAAGATGCTTTTAAATGATGGCAAGGTAATTTTTGCTTCAAGTTTCGTTAGTAGGTGGGAAATCGGCTGAAACGTGTGACTCAAGGTGGAAAAGCATTGTTTGTTTCCATGCCCTTTAGACTGCGTGAACCCACGGGATGGTAGACAGTGAAAACTGGGGGTACATTGATGACAGATGGTGGAAATCGGGGTGATGACCCAAGATGCTAGTTGTGTATCATCTTGTTGGGAATGACTTATTATTTTAAAAGTTATTCTTTAAGAGTGAGATTACCTTTTTCTCTTTTTTTATTTTATTGCAAAAGAGATTACTTTTTTTTTTTTTTTTTTCAGAACCAGGGATTGAACTCAGGTCCTTCCACTTGCCTGGGAAGTGCTTATTCCACTGAGCCATCTCCCTGGCCCCAAGATTACTTTTTATAGCCACTGAAATATTTAGAAACTTTAATTTTAAATTACTATTACTAAGATTTCAAAAAACATAATAAGATTCACTTTTAAGTGTGTGAAATGGTGATAAGGAGAAGGTGCAGCTTGGTCTGTTTGTAAAACCTGATTTGAGCATTTAACCTACAACTGCCTGAAGTGGAAGCATTCAAAATTTAGCATAGCAATTTAAGAGCGATTTCCCTGTGAAACTTAAATTTGATTTATCTGTATTATTTCTAAATCTTCTGCAGTGCAGCTATAATTTCAGTTTGCCTTCATGAAGTTTATTTATTTTTATTATTTATTATTTGTTTATTTATTTATTTATTTATTTATTTATTTATTTGCAGAACCGGGTATTGAACTCATGCCCTTGTGCTTGCCAGGGAGGCGCTTATTCCACTGAGCCATCTCCCCAGCCCCATGAAGTTTATTTTTGGACTGATATCTTATTCTCTGTAGTGTTAGAAGTCAGAGGTCTTTTGTAGTGGAATCCCAGCTGTGCTAACTTGCTAAATAAGACCTTGGCGTGGGTGGCTGCTTTGGGGTTCAGGTGCGAGGGCAGCAGTCTGTGCCAGGTGTGACAAGCTCTATGTGAGAATGCCTACATCTGGGCCAGAGCAGGTTTGAGCAAATCTCAGATATGAAGAGCTGCACCAAGCAGACCAACCATGCCGACCTCTTGATAACAGCTGCATGCAGCTCAGTGTGTGCACAGTACGGGAAGATGCAGAGCGAAGCGAACGAGCAAATGTGTGCCTGCGTGTGCTAAACCTGGCCCTTCGCCTTGATCGCAGCACCCCAAGGAGCTTCATATTCTACTGCTGGAAACGAATGTTCTGTACCCAGGGATGCGTAACAATCAAGGTGACTGCACCTGGTTTCTGAAGCCCTAGGGTCTTAACTCTGTCCCCTAAATCCAGACTTCCCCAGTTACCTACCTGAACAGACCCTCGCCTTTTGGGAACACCTTCCCGTTGTGAACAGCAACCATAGAATGTTGGGAATGACTTATTCTTTTAAAAATTATTCTTTAAGAGTGAGATTACATTTTATAGTAATTATATACTTGCTCTTCCAGTACTTGCTTTTTTTCTTAATTTGGCTAGTGCGTCCTTGCAAAGTTCAACTTCCTCGTTCCTATTCCATGCTGGTGGTAAATTACTTCTGTTTCCTTTTCTCAATGCTGTTTCTATCTTTCTTTGGCAATTAAAAAATGTCTGTAGTTCCAAATAAGATCTCTAAAATTAAGTCACTTTTTAAAAATCCAACTGTAGTCCCAATAACACCTTAAAGCACCAGGAAATCCCCCTTTTGCTTTATTTGGCTATTTGGGTTTCACTGTTTTTTAATTGAACAAAATGTAGATTTAGCTTTTATATTAACATGCTTAAAGTGAAAGACTATAATGATTATGAGTAAGATTACAGAGAGCGATTGGTAAATCAATAGTTTTATAAAATTGTCAAGTTTTCAAAGCTTATGTGCAAAGCCCCTTCTTTGTCATTGGCGGTGTCCCAGTACGAGATGATTGCGCGCCTCGTGGGCAGCTGGCGCATGCGCACGACATCTTCGGTCGCGTCCCCGCCCATCTTGCCCTGCCTAGCTCTGGTTCCCTTCCCATCTAAAGAAATTTCGTTTTTCTCAATCCTCTCTTCTTAAAAATCATTTTCCTTCCCCCCCCCCATCTCTTGGTCCACTTCCCATTTGAAAAGATCTATTTCCTATTACCTACTTTTATTTGCATTTTGAGTTTCTCCTGTAAGAGCAACTATGTGATATTTAGACTTGTATAGCTGATTTATTTCACTTAATATTATGATTTTGAAGTGTGTGCACTTACCTCCCAATGCCTATGCTTTTCCTTTGTTACGGCAGAGTAGTAGTCCTTTCTGTATAAGTACTACCTTTCCTTTCTCCATGCGCTGGTGACGGACAACCAGGCTGTTTCTAGGATTCAGTTGTTAGGAGTTGTGCCGCCGTAACCTCGGTGGTCGTTGGAGCCCTGCAATTTGATGACTAACCCTGCCTGGAAAATGCCTAGACAGGGAATAGCGGGTTGAGTGAAAAGTCTAGTTTTAGATTTTTGAGGACTCTCCATAGAGTCACGCTAGCTCCCATTCTCACAGATAATATAGAAGGACTTTTTCCCCCCTCAGAGCTTCAGGAATGTCTGTTGTCACTTGATTTGTTAGTGACAACATTCTTTCTGGAGTAAAATAGAATCTCAGTGTGGGGTCAGCTTGAGTTTCTCAAATAGCCAG